TAAAATTCATGACGAAATCTTGAGAAACCGAGCAGTTTACTAGGAAGATAATCGCGATTCGCGGGGGGAATCGCGATACAGGCCAGGCCTCGCGTGATGAAGACTGTTATTTGCGTCGTATTTTTGCCGGCGTTACAACAAAATTGCTCGATACGCCCGATAAAAATCTACATAATGATAAACACACGCGTATTCTAATGCGAACGCGCGCGCGTGTGAGCCGCGCCGAGAATACGGAATCGCGATACACGCATTAACCCGGCATAAGTGTACCCTCCATGATATATATTATCAGATAATAATTAGATGTCCGCAACGTACGTATTATCGTGTAAGATCGCGTTATTATTACAGTCATGCCCAATTATACTTGCACGCTGAAACATCAATTTGCGGCCGCGCAATGTTGTCGGCCGCCGCCGCTGTTTCGCTTCGCGCGAACGTCGCGAACGACTGCTTCGCTCGGGGTACGCAGTAAATACCGCATAAATTAAAACGTATAAATAACGTGTAATCATGCGTATCGCTCGGCGTAATTTATCGCGATTTCTGCCGGTCGGCGCGACGTCGTGATGTTTTTCTCATGCCTCTCGTCTCGCGAATAATTCCTCCGGTTGTTCCTCCTCGTTGTGAGAAATACTACCGCCGCTATTTCCGGCTTCTCGCTGCATTTGCATCGATGAAAAATGTAGCGACGTGGTGTAACATATTTATAAGCCCGCGGGCGGGCTAAATATAATTTATGGAGAACACTCGAAAATACATTCCCCCGATCTTAATCCCCGATAACCCGGGCTGGATTTTAATAACAGATCGTCGAAATCAAACTTCCCCCGTTAATTAAAGCGCGAGTCGCGCAAAAGCGGCTAGGGTTTGAGGACTTTCTCTCGCGGATAAACGAGGGACGCGGAGGGGTGGGAGAGGGGAAAAAAAGAAAAGAAGCGAACATCGACGTCCGTCTCGACTTGGCGCGAATTAAGAATGCATCGTGTACCGCCCGTCCGCTCCGTCGCCCGGAGGAAAACGACGATCAGCACGGATAACATCGCAAAATCGAGCGCGGGAACTCGAGAGCGGGAGATTCTGTGGGAAGGGGTATTAAATACGTGACTCGACTCATCTCACCGTTTCCATCGTTCAGCTTCCGCCGTGGCCCTTAAACTATTTCGCGCTAAGAGGCGTGAAATAGAACCCGTCGTCGTTACTGCGACCTTCGGTGGCGCAACTCCGCTTAAGAATTTAGTACAACACGCGCGCGCACCCGCTGGTAGCCCGATCGAAAAAAAAGGATGGAAAAGCCGATCGGAAAAAAATGGACACGTAACCACAGTCGGCATTTAACACCACTGCGCTCGCTGCCGTCGTCGCACATTCGGCTAAACTGTGGCGCTAGAAATTTTCACTTAGCGAACGCGTCCCCCGCGCTAACTCGTTAAAAATTCCTAAAGTGGCGGGGGCTCGCCTCTAAAATGTTGACGACGAACATTGCGAACTCTTTCTCTCCTTCTCTCCCTCCCTGCCTCCTTTTTCTCTCTCTCTCCCTCGACCTCGCAACTGTGTCGCGTTTACACTTTCCGCCAGAGGAGAACCTTTCTCTCCTTCCTCGCGCGACAAACTTGGAAGCCCCTTTAATACTAAAACGTGCGTGTAAGAGCAAGCGAAATTGCGTTATTTTTAAAGTAAAAAGATCGCATGGAAACACCCGAGCAAAAGTTGGACGGAAATTACCTGGATAAAAATTAGATGCAGAATAGTCGGGAGAAGCTATTTGTTATAAAAATATCAGTTTCGCGCTCTTTTTCCCTCTCTTTCTCTCTCAAATAGAGCATAAAGCGGGGTAGACGACGAAGAGTGTGCGCTTTTCAAGTGGAATTTTCACGGGCCGAGACACGCGCGATATCCATGTCTCGTATGAGGTATTCATATAGTATTCACTCGTTATTAATTATGGCCAATGGAATTATTCACTTAATTATAGCAAGCATTGATGATCGTATCAATAAACTTTCGCGTCACGTTGTACTGTGAGGCGCAATTTATACATTGTCCCGCATCGATGTATGGTATAATACTCGATCGATTATAATTATGCGCATATTAATGGATGCATAATGCGTAACATTTAGGCGAATTCAACCGGTTTTAAAACGCAAAAGAAGCGCGCAATCAGCTCGCCCGGGCCCTTCCGAGAGCGCGCATCGTTGTTTATTGTTTTACGCAATTAGAATTAAAACGTACAAACAGGCATGCATAGTTGCGCGATACACCGGTGCGTAAATGAATTAAAAAGAATCGCGTTTACGAATTAAAGAGAATTGCGCGTGTCCGGGCGATGTGATGCGTCAAAGCCAATTTGCAAAGGGAGAAAGAAAAAGGGCGAACAAGAAGAATGACTAAAGTAACATTGCGACAAAAGGAAGAGAGAGAGAGAGAGAGAGAGAGAGAGAGAGAGAGAGAGAGAAAATAGGATAAATGTATCCAACTGTGCGTCCATTCTCTATGAATTTATCTTCTACTTTCCTCGGTGCGCACGCTATATCTGCGTTACAAGAGGATTACATTTTACAGCAATAAATCCGTCCCCGCTAACGGCGCGGGCCGTATAACGCATTTTACATGCGGAATCTTCGACGTGCGACGGCGAATCCAGTTGTATTTTACACGATGGCGCAATTCAAATCGGAAACGTTTAAAAAGGCAGCAATGCAAATATGGAGCCGCCGCGTCTCTTTTACGGCCGGCATTAAATACGTCCGTTAAAATCCCCCTTTGGTTCGCCCATCGCGATGGATTTTAACATCAGCATAGAAATTATTAACTCCTGCGCGAATTCGCAGAGTCGCCGCGCGCGCGTACGGAAAATGTTTGCGAGATGATGTAACGGAACGATCGTTCCGAGATCGTTTCGTTACATCATCTCGCACACGTCTCGTCGCGAATTCTTCCTCTTTCCGTACATATTTTAAACAGGAGCCTATATTTTATTTCAGAAACTTCTTTCATATAATTTTTTCAATAGTGTAAAATGGAAACCATAAAAAATTCCCGAGAAAATATTAGAAGTGATCAAATATAGAATCTGTTTACGTATGTCTCATTTATAAGTTATTTCAAGAAAGGGTTGAGTAAAATTAATAATTGAAGCGGTTTCAGTATATACGCTTTTTAAGTACATAATCTTTTCAAACGTGGTACAAAATGGGAGCCAGAAAAAATGTTCAGAAAAACATCGGGGGATGATCAGATATGGTGGAATCTGTGTCCTACATATAAGTTATTTCAAAAAGAGGTTGAGCAAAATAATTGAAGCAGCTTGAATATGCACGCTTCTTACCTGCAAAACGTACGTAAACGCTCAGAGCTTTTCGGATATTTTGTTCAACATAAATACAAAATGGAAACCGAAAAAAGAAAAGTCCGGGTAAACGTTGGACAGAAAAAATGGAATCTGCCTGGATTTTCTACTTATAACAGAATCGCATTTTTGAAACATTACACCTCTAGTCCGAAACTTCATAAATTTCTTAATCATTCCATCATTTTTTGGGGAAATCACAGGCTAGATCCGAATTAGATCCTAAGAAATGTTCTATATGCTGGTAATGCGGAAGATCGAAGAAACGATTGTAAGTCGAATCATGATTTTCATGTTTGCAGTTTTCGTCGTTGGTTCTGTTTCGTCCGCCGCGCAATCGATACGATTCGACGGTGTAGAACCGACGAGATATCCACAAGCGAGGGAGTCGCTTGTTGAAAAATTCGGACGATTCTACGCAATATTTGTAAGAAAAAAGAATAATATTTGAACAGGCGCACCATCCGCCGCGCGCGATACTCGAGAATGTTCGCGTCATTTTCACAACCGTCTATCGTTCCGCGGCTTTTACTCCAGATTTTCGCAATATTCTACCGGCGCAACGCGAAGTATATAATATTTGGAATTTTCTGGGGAATTTAGCGGCAACGCTCGTGATAAATATCACATTTCGCCGAGCGAACCAGCCGACGGGCGGAGAGATTCCATTCGAATTCACGCTGGTCGTACGTATATCCGGCTTTACGATCCTCCCGGCGCGGAAAGTTCGCGAACGTGCATCACTGCCGCGGAAGTGAAAAATCGCGAGGCATTCGAAGGCGAGCGATGACACCGCGCGGCCGTGCCGGAAGAGGATCCGGGACTCTCCGGGGAATACACCCGCCGCCGCCCGTGAAATTCATTTGATGCGTCATAACGCAATTCGTCCGGCGAACGACAATGTCAATTACCCGTGCGAAATCGCGCGGTGCGATAGACATCTCGTGTGAAATGTTCCGCCTGGTTCCCACACGCGATTCGAACATGCAAAAATAGGGCGGCCTGATTGGATCCTGTGCTCAACTTTCGCGTGTTGAACATTCAATGCGCCTGTGTGAGAGCGGAAATTTTGTTTAATCAATTGTTCCCGCTTGGATCCTCTTGAAAAAATCAAGAAATTACACCTTGAATTATTCTTACAAAGGCGAATTGGCCGTAGTTGAGGCCGTAGTGAGAATGATCCGGCCCGCATGGACGTACGGTTGGAAATGAATAAAGATGAAAATTTCACACGTAATTTCAAAAGTATAAATAGCACTGAGATTCTTCAAAATCTTTCAAAAAGTCACGCATGGTCCATTTTCTCCTCTTTAAGGTTATTCATTAGCAAGCTTATAAAATGGGTAAGAAAGACGCAACTAGTGAAAAATGGCACAACTAGTGGTAAATAAACTGTTCTTTCAATTTTAAACACCTATAAGGCTTGGACCCTTTTGTTTTACATAGAAAGAAATTTTAGACTATCCAACGGTAACAAAATCTCAAAAATCATAATTTTGGTATCAAATCCTTCTTATATAACTATAATTAATTATTCCTGCATTGTTCCTCGACCTCGGGGAAACGCGTTTGATCCAAAAAATTCCACATATCAAAGATATCATTTCAACGATGATGAGTGCGTGAATGTATTCGGATTACTCACTGTTCGGATCGTGTATCCAACGCTTCTTGTCGCCGACTTTCATTATGCGGGTATCGTCCTGCAAGCAGAGAGAAAATTCGCACGTTAGAGGGGGTCGCTTTAACAGCACGTTTCCCGCATCATTGCGCCTTATTTTTAGACAGAACAGGACACGCAAATATAAAGCGCCACCGCGGGTTCGCCCCGAAGGTCGTACTTTCGCACCGTCACGGGGATTCAAGGGTAAGTAGCGTTTTGCGCCAAAATGCAGTTCGATTGATGCGGTACGAAAAGCGGCGCGGAATATAGGCACACGGTTATGCACGTGAACGGGAGAATATGACGAACGATCGCTCGTCACGTGCATGAAATTCAGGGTTGCCCGGGGTAAAATAAGAAGGTAATCTGTTCGAAGTTCAGGCCGAGGTCAGCGGCGAAAGGGGGCTTCGGTGGTGCTTTAGGTGGTGGAAGGGAAGGCGTATCGGTGGTGGAAAGACAAGGGGGAAGCGAGCTTGCGGGAGCTCGCGTGATAGTTCACGTGCCAGTTTGCAACAATTCGTGGATAATATCTAAAATACCTATGGGAAGCTGCCTGAAATGTAGGTTGCTGACCACGCGCCCGAGCGGAGCTCGACCGTAAGTTACAGCGGCCGGATAAAATAACGGAGCCGAATCGTCGAGGGGAAAGAACACTTTCGCGCCGAACGGCGCCGCGCGAACATTTGTCGAGTCGCTTCGCGACATCGATCAGCGTTCCTAACGATGCCGCAAATACAGTCGCACGATAATGATAAAGTACTTGAAATAATGAGAAAGAGAGAGAGAGAGAGAGAGAGGCATCAACATTAATACACAATGAGCATAAAGAAGATTAATTGAATTAACGTGCCAATGAATAAATCGAATGAAACGGAATTTCTGACCGTAAAAACCGATTTTAGTTCATAAGAACTAAAAATTCTGTTATTTTCTCCTCCGTTCTCTATTCAATAAAACTTTTCTCCGTGAAGCAATAACGATTACCGTCTCGAATAACTTCGAAGTATGAGAGCGGGGAAGAAAAATTTACCCAACAGAAATTATAATGATCACCACTTTGAACGCTTTCTGTAATTGTAAACTTTCTTTCAACTTCAACAAGTCGTTAATAACATATTTTTATTCGTCCAAGATATTCATAGACATGGGAGTAGTTTAGCTGTCAAAAATAGTGAAAATCAATGAAAAGTAAAATTTGAATTTTGAGGAATAAAAAAGTTATATGATATATAAAATCTGAGTAAAATTTCCTTTAGATTCAGTCATCTAGGCACGTATTTAGATACTCGTATTGCATCAGGAAACTCCTGGCAAAAAGCAGAAATTTAAATTCTTTGTTTTCTCAAATACGTTTAAACGAAATAAAATAAAAAACAATATTTTGAATCTAGTTAAGCTACATTTTAATATATTTCCAGGATACATTGGGACATCTCAGATATTTTCGACGAATAAAAACAAATTTTATAAATAAAAAAAGATACGGATTTTACCGTTGAAAACAGAACAGTTAGTAAACTTTTTAAGAATAATATTCAATAATAAGCAATTTAAAGAAAACACAGTCAAATATGCTCCCGACACAATCATTGTCTGTTATCTAGGATTTGTTTGTTAAGAACTCGTTCTAGTTCGGAGAACAAACAAGAATGTGGATGGACAAACGTGGACAAACGATTCCACTATGTGATTTAAAGAAAACACAGTTTGCTCATGCCAGCCTTTATCTGTTTTTCTGACCAACATGATAAAAACAATCTAAAAAATAAAACAACATATCTTCACTTTATGACTATTATGCCGTCGGAGCCATTGTTACATCCTATTTTCTTTAAATCTGTTGTTTTGTCTTTAAAGAAGTAAGGTATTGAATGTGATTTCTTCTGATTGAACTTTTCTTTTTAAAAGGGCTCAAATCGAATAACAGAAAAGTGAGTTTTTTTCTTAAAAGTGAGAAATAGCGAGGTGTTTCTATAAATAAGTGAGGAGAAGCGTGAAAAGTGAGTCGTTCCCAAATCAACATCCAAGGTGACAATAGACACAACTCACCTCACTCTGTATTTGAAAATAATAATGCAGTTGAAGTTTGGATCGATCTTCGAGCGAAAATAAAAAAAAAAACTTTTCTCCAAATTTAACTTCAGTAAAAAAGTCTTGGACACTCGGAAAAGTATAAAAGTACTTGCTTCTTTGCTTGCACAGAACGTCGAGGTCGTCGGCAGAAATTTTTACATTTGTGGATGAGTGCTCGCGCTTGAGCTTTGCCGACGCGCGAGGAATTACACAGTCGCCCGAAAGATGACGAAAGATTACAGAAAACCACGGCCGTTTACATTACTGATTGAAATTGATTTTAAATATGAATAAACTTCCTTCAATTTGGAGCTAAAAATACCACGTTACTTTCCTTCCAACCCGATGTAATAATTACGAGATGTGACGGTCGAGTCATACCGGTGTTCGAGATGCCTATCATTCGAAGCATTTTTCATCAGCGTCTTACGATCACGCCGATTTCAACGCGGACAAATTTCCGGCCGCCGAAAGTACGGGTCCCCCGCAAAATGCGCGGCATCTCGGATCGGCGCCTCGCCTCGGAGCAAGGAGAGAACAATTTTTTACGCCAATTTTTTACGCCGTTTACGCTCGTAAAGAAAAAAAAGAATACGAAATAAAGTAGCGCAAAAGAATTTATAATGGTTAACAGCGGTAGATTCGAGAGGAGGTACGCGAGCATTATCCGCCAACGCGACATCATGTTCGCCAGCAAAAGGGGAAGGCAACGAGGCGAGGGCATTATAGAGCACTCATATTACATATTACGTAAATATCCCTTTCCCGGTGGTCGCTCTTGACCCTTTGAGAGACGGACCTTTTAACCTTTTTAAACATTTTGCATACAGCAAACAGACGTGCATGTGTGCTCGCTTATTCACGCACGCCTGTGTAACTTACGTACGTTTTATAATAAATGAAACATATGCGGTTTAAAACCGCCCCTTTGAAAGAGTTACTTTTGGGAAGGGGGGGGGGGACAGAGGGGGCAGTGAGAAGAGCACTGAGGACGAGTTTCCGGCGCGGGCAAACTGCGCGTTAAATCGGCCGTTTAAAGCCTGCGTGGAAAGGCAATTACTCGATTCGATTCGCCGAAGAAGAAAGGGAGATAGAAAGAGAAAGGGGGAGGAGGGGACGAAGCGAAGTCGAAGGTTCGAAGTGGCGTTCTTGAGTCTTCAACGGGAACCCGGAGACTCGAGGAGGAGAGGAAGGGAAGAATCGTCGTCGCTTCGCGGCGCATCCTCGATCGCGCGAAATATTACTCTCCCTCTAATTTTGCACCGGCGACTCCGCCGTTTCTCCACGGGGATTGCGAATGGAGGCGCGACAGAAGCGCGGTCGTTTCGCGAAAATAAATGACGGCGTATAATGCGCCGAACATAGCCGGCCGAATAAATAGCCGGGTTGTAAAGGGCGCTGTGCGACGAACGAGCGAGCGAGACGGCGAGTCAACGACGAGAAATGAAAACACATACGCGCGTATATGTCCGGGGGGCGTTATTTCGCGACCGGCAAAAATGATCGCGTGAAATATATGCGGAGAGAGGGGGAGGGGGAAGGCGAAAGAGCGAGAGATACAGAGTCGACGAAGAGTCAGGCGAAAATAAAAGCCGAGGCGCGAAGCCGCGTGCGCGCCGTGGCGTCGTTATAAAATTACGAGCTCTATGAAAAATAGAAACGTGGAGTAGCGGCGGTGGAGTATCGGGACCACCGGGCGTCGTCGTCGTGTCGTGTTTTACGGGCGCAACGTACACACAGAGGGGGCGTAAGCGTTCGACGCCGGGTTAACCCTTCGACCGCACGCTCCCGAAATGTCGCTCGTACCGCGAACAGGCTCATGTTGACCTTATGTACGATTTTCCGAATTCCGTGTTTGAAAAACTGTGGAAGAAAAGAGACTTGAGAGATTCTGCAATAAAGGCTGGCTCTCCCCCTTCGATGCTTGAATCTTGCATTCGTGGAAAGTCAAGTTTTAAGGCTACTGAAAAAATAACAATTCGAATCCAGACAGTGGCCTGCAAATGGTAGTATTTTATTTAAAAAATCGTAATTTTTTGAGGTTCGGACTGAAGTTGAACGATGGTTCTAACGGGGGAAAAATATGATTCCATATAGTGCGCGTTCGAAAAATATATATTTTTTTTCGGCCGGAAAAGAGGATATTTTGAAATATCGGAAATAGGTGTTTTTATGAAAAAAATTTATGGAAAAAATATCCTTGTTGCGAAAGTATCGGGAATTATTTACTTTTTACTTGCCAAATGGTAACGCGCATGTGTTTTAGAAAATCATAAATATTCAGAATCACGTTTCGCGCTCGTGTAGATTACACGCCACTTGACTTTAACATAGCACTGTTATTTATTATTTTCCAAAAATAATACGTAATACATCAACCGCAGCACATGGATCAACTGACCCTGCGTTAAATTCGGTTGGCCCCGAAACACGCATTAATCGGCTTATCAGATCCGCATCACGTCTAACAGACGGAGCGATTCTTTGACAATTTTCCAGAAGTGAGAAGAGCTCTTAGATCACGCAGTTTTCTTCGCTATAACTGTTCAAATATAACTCACTGGGTCTATCTGTAACACCCATAATACGGTCGGAAGGTTAAAAAAGTCCGGTGAAAGTCCAAAGAGTGCGAGGATCGTCGAATTTTGGAAAGTCGATTGAGGGAGAGAAAGAGAAGGAGAGAAGGGGAGGGAGGGAGCGAGAGAGAGAAACCCGATGTAATTTTTCAGAATTTTCAGCGGCCAGTAGAATCCGGCGCGACGAATCCGCGATCCGCTTTCCTCGGCCTGATGTACGACCTAACGCCCTGCTTTATCCCTGCGAAACGCGGACGTGTCTGATAAATAGCCGACTGCTTTACGAAGCTTTCGCCCCGACCGACCCTCCCGGCCGCTGCAACCGCCGCCACCGCGCTGTTTTATTAGTCCACCCCCGCTGTGGATGTTCAGCACTGAAAAGTAGGACGTG